ATAAAGGCTTGCGATCCATATCTTATGGTAAAGAAAGTAGTGACAATCTTGTCAGACCAGATCTTCTTGCTACTTCAAGAATTGTTATGCATTTTGCCCAAAAGTTGCGAGACAAATTTCCACAATCGGGCTTCCACATTTTTGTTGATCGCTACTACACTGGTGTCCAACTAGCTTCTGAATTGTTAAAAATGGGCATTCACTTGACAGGGACAATCAATCAGAATCGAAAAGGACTTCCTGTAGAAGTAAAGAAGGGACACCTAAAACTGAAGAAACATGAGTCTGTTGCTTATCGAAAGAATAGTAACATTTTAGTGTCAGCTTGGAAGCAGGACAAGCGCAATGTACTTAATGTTGAGCACTTTTTGTGATGATAGTAGTGAGGTCATAAAGAGAAAAGAGAAGAAAGGTGTGAATGTTGAAGTAGTTAAACCATCTGTAGTATGTGAATACAATAAATATATGGGCGATATGGGCGAATAATATATGGAAACTGATAGGCAACATTCCCGTGGAAATGGATTATTACGTGGGAACGTTTCCGTAACCAATCCGTAAGGTGACCGATTTCTTGCCGTAACATTCTCATAACTTTTTAGCGCGGCGAGTGTCCAGGCTTAACGGAAAGGTTGCCGCGGTATCGTTTCAGCCAACGTTGCACTATTATGACGACAGCGTTACCGAAACGTTTCAGTAAGGTTCCTTTTCCATTTGGGATCACAATTGGTAAAAATTCCAAGAATCCTTTTGATACGCGTTTTCGAATGTGCCGCTTAAAATACATAATTAATATCGATTGATCGATTAATTTTCTCCGATATTTTGATGTAGATGTCGATAAAAAAATCGGATTTATCGATTTACAACTATCAATCAATGTAAATATCGGAACATATTTAGTTCAACCAGGCATACCTGTTTCAACATATAAAAAAAGCATGGCTTTAGGGTAGGTCTGCTGCTGCAAAACGATCGATGTATCGAATACTGAATGACGTGCACAATCAATAAGAATCAACCTACGTGGCGCGTTAATTCAAATTGAGGGGGAGACTTGGATTTTGAGGTTTAAGACAGAGATACGGCTGTACGAGCCTTCACAGAGGTGAAAACAGAAATTCAGAATCGAAAGAAAACCAGCCTTTTTGGTGATTTTGAAATTCCACATAATAAAGTTAGGTCAATGTTAAAAAACAAAAATGTTGAAGTGTTTGACTCATTCTCTTGGAAGGGCTGCACTGGATATCACAGATCAGTAAGATGCCTTTCTGTAGCCGTCGTGATTTCGAAGGTTGGAAGTACAGCTTCATGAGGGCAAGTTGACCTTAATTCTTTGTCGTTTGGGATGAGATGGTGATACAGTGCGAGTCCTAGTTCTATCAATGATTGCACAGGTTTCGGTTTCTTCATTTACAGCTGATACATTTTTTTGGGCTCCTACAGATCTCTTCCAGCGGTTGCCCTATGAAATTGAAAAACATGTTTCCTTTTAAGATTAGGATATGCCTAATAACAGATAATCCAAAAACTTATCATACTTGGAACTTAATATTGAAGTAGCGTCTCTGCGTGGTTTCTTGGTTTTCCTGTGCCGCTACTGCAGTTTCGACCGTTTAGGCAATGGTTTAAGGGCGCTAAAGCCAGGGTTGTATTTCGCAAATGGATAATTTTTGCAGAATAATTAAAAATTAAGAAGCAGGAGTAATTTAACTAAATAATAAAGGGTAATCAAATCAAAAATATAATGCAAAACAATTTGGAAAATCTCGTCATGTAGATACAGAAGATTCGAAAACGCCTTCAGTTGAGGCGTGATACCTCACGCGTTCCGGAGAGTTCAAATAGTTGTATCCCTGCGCCTTACTAGGAAGATGGAAGATTAATATTGAAGTAGCGTCTCCGCGTGGTTTCTCAGTTTTCCTGTGCCGCTACTGCAGTTCCGACCGTTAAGGCTGTAGTTTAAGGGCGCTAAAGCCAGGGTTGTATTTCGCAAATGGAAAATTTTTGCACAATAATTAGAAATTAAGAAGCAGGAGAAATTTAACTAAATAATAAAAGGAACTCAAATCTACAATATCATACAAAACGGTTTGGAAAATCTCGTCATGTAACTACAGAAGATTCAAAAACGCCTTCAATTGAAGTGTGATACCTCACGCGTTCCGGAGAGTTCATATAGTTGTATCCCTGCGCCTTACTAAGAAGATGGAAGATTAATATTGAAGCAGCTTTCCCGCTAGCCCTTTCGGGTTATTCCTTTGCCGGTACTGCAGTTTTGATCGCATAGTGTAAGGGCGCTCAAGCTAAGCTAGTATTTAGCAAATGGATAATTTGTATGGAAGAATTAAAAACAAGGAAGCGGTAGGAATTTCACCAAATAAAAGTTAGGTACGCAAATCAACAATAAAATTCAAAGAACTGCGATAAAAAATGTGTATGTAAAGTTTAAATTTGAGCCAAAGCACGTCCGAGGAAATTTCGAGTTCACAAACAATTTTCTAGTTGATTGTGAAATCGACGGACATTCGAGAAAGTAATATACAAAAATTTAAAACATGGGGATGCGCGCGTACCCGTGGAAGTAGCTCGGATGATCAGTCATTCCCTTTCTTCCATGCTCCAAACGTTATGGGACCAGAAAATCCCGTTGTGCAAAGATAGTAAACTATAAAACGCCTTCAATTGAGGCGTGATACCTTACGCGTTCCGGAGAGTTCAAATAGTTGTATCCCTGTGCCTTAGCAAGGCGATGGAAGCTTAATATTGAAGTAGTAGTCCAGGCGCCTAGTAAGTCTACCTGGAATTTCGGGTACACAGCGATTTTTTTGGCTTACTTTGTGTTATTTGGGTCACTGAATCCAAAGCTGAAGTTTCCTACCGCGTATCTGGTGAGCATTTTCCGCCATATTGAAAAGTTTTCCGAAAAATGCCTTTTTTGCGATTATTTTTATTTAGCTGCTACGCATGAGAAAAAGTCCCGGATTTAGTTAATGTTTTGAATAGCTGATATAATTTGGAAGAAAATGATTATGAATATGCTATGTTTTCTCAAAAATTGAGGAAGATACGGCATCGTGAACATCGCGCCCATTCACGTTTTCGCGGCGCACCCGTCAACGCGCGATCCGGCTCGCCGCGGTCAGCTAAGTTCCGAAGCGTTCCAAAGTTCCGAGATCCGAGGTTCCTCAATTTTTGAGAAAACATAGCATATTCATAATCATTTTCTTCCAAATTATATCAGCTATTCAAAACATTAACTAAATCCGGGACTTTTTCTCATGCGTAGCAGCTAAATAAAAATAATCGCAAAAAAGGCATTTTTCGGAAAATTTTTCAATATGGCGGAAAATGCTCACCAGATACGCGGTAGGAAACTTCAGATTCGGATTTAGTGACCCAAATAACACAAAGTAAGCCAACAAAATCGCTGTGTACCCGAAATTCCAGGTAGACTTACTAGGCGCCTGGACTACTACTTCAATATTAAGCTTCCATCGCCTTGCTAAGGCACAGGGATACAACTATTTGAACTCTCCGGAACGCGTAAGGTATCACGCCTCAATTGAAGGCGTTTTATAGTTTACTATCTTTGCACAACGGGATTTTCTGGTCCCATAACGTTCGGAGCATGGAAGAAAGGGAATGACTGATCATCCGATCTTCCGAAGGCGCAGGGATACAACTATTTGAACTCTCCGGAACGCGTGAGGTATCACACCTCAATTGAAGGCGTTTTTGAATCTTCTGTATTTACATGACGAGATTTTCTAAATCGTTTTGTAATATATTGTAGATTTGAGTTCCTTTTATTATTTAGTTAAATTTCCCCTGCTTCTTAATTTTTAATTATTCTGCAAAAATTATCTATTTGCGATGTACAATCCCGCCTTTAGCGCCCTTAAACTACTGCCTAAACGGTCGAAACTGCAGTAGCTGCACAGGAAAACCGAGAAACCAAGCGGTGACGCTATAGTCCAGGCGCCTGGTAAGTCTACCTGGAATTTCGGGTACACAGCGATTTTTTTGGCATACTTTATGTGTTTTGGGTCGCTGAATCCGAATCTGAAGTTTCCTACCGCGTATCTGGTGAGCATTTTCTGCCATATTGAAAAAATTGCCGAAAAATTCCGTTTTTTGCGGTTTTTTTTATTCAGCTGCTACGCATGAGAAAAAGTCCCGGATTTAGTCAATGTTTTGAATAGCTGATATAATTTGGAAGAAAATGATTATGAATATGCTATGTTTTCTCAAAAATTGAGGAACTTCGGAACTCGGAACTTTGGAACTTGGCTGACCGCGGCGAGCCGGATCGCGCGTTGACGGGTGCGCCGCGAAAACGTGAATGGGCGCGATGTTCACGATGCTGTATCTTCCTCAATTTTTAAGCAAACCTAGCATATGTAAGTATACACCATTTTCTTCCAAATTATGTCAGCTATTCAAAACATTGACTCAATCCGGGACTTCTTCTCATGCAAAAAACCGCAAAAACAGGCCTTTTTAGGCCATTTTTTCAAGATGGCGGAAAATGCTCACCAGATTCGCGGTAGGAAACTTCAGATTCGGATTCAGCGACCCAAAAAACGTAGAGGAAGCCAAAAAAATCGCTGTGTACCCGTAATTCCAGATAGCCTCATTTTTAGCTACCAGGCGCCTGGACTAAAAGTATACAAGCTGTTATTGAGTAATGAGGGGGCAAAAGTGCCAAATTGCTATCATCTTGACAGCGAAAACGACGTGGAAAATGGACGAAAATGTTACACCTATGATAGGTTTTGGCTATAAATGTTCTTATCGGTGCCCCGTACACTTCTCTGTTTTCAGTTTCAAAAATTTTCACGGCACAGTGGTCTTACTGAATTTAACATTACTGAAAAAATAGATGGCGCAAAAATTTGAGGATCTGACACAACTATATTCAACAGAATACAAATCATAGTGAAAAACCCAACAGATTGAACTGAAAGAATTCAAGAAGTGGAGCATGTATTTCTTACCTTAAAAGCCAATTGTTTCTGAACTTCATTCATTTCTAAATCATATTCGTAATCCTCATTTTCTGAAATCTGAAAAATTAATTTTTTTTTTAAAAAAAAAACAAACTAAATAAATAAAATATTGATAAGGTTAAAAAGTTAATTTTCTTTAAGAAAATAGGAAATGTACAAAAAAATTCCCTTCATTTCACCCATTAAATTCTAGAGCTGTTCATTGCTATTCTTCTAGGTTCAAAGTGCGAGACAGTAATTTCACATTCCTTGACTTCTTTGATATGCGCAAGAAAGTTGATAAAAGGAGAAAAAAGAATTGGACTAATTGGCTAAACTAAGAGCTCCTGGTAAAGGGTATTCAAAGGATATCATGGTACTTTTGATGGTTGTGAAACACCTTGTATTCTCGAAATCCTATTTTCATGAGAAACACAGTGTAATTTCTCACAGTAGTCACAGCCCTATGGATTCTATGCTACTCACCCACGTCCAATCATTTTAGACTGAAGATTTAGCTCAATAAAAGATACTTACTTGAACTTGACAAAATATACTGGGGTCATCGTTTTCAATGTGTTCCAGAGACACTGAACTATTTGAAATCACAACCTCTCCTCCAGCATCTTCATCAGGACACCGAAGTATAGAATGGGCAGGTATCTGAAAATTGATGAAAAAAAGGCAACCACCCAATGAGCTGAATACCAGGTTGAAGATTCTCTTTTCAAACATTCGGAACTTCGAGTTCATCATAAAAGAAATACTTTACAGATGTAGCATCAGGATGTCATTACTACCTTTTGGTATTTCTGACTTGAAACCATTTGAAACAAAAGCTTTCAAGCATTTCTTTCAGAGCACTATTGCAGAGATTTTGTTTGACAAAAAAGAAATTTACCTTATGAGCTGAATACGAGGTATCCTTGATTTTAGAATTGATTATGGATTGACAAAAACTAGGTAAAATTTTGGACTTCAGATTAGCTTCATAATAGGATACTCACTTGACAGATAGCAAGAGGGTCTTCCTCCCCATGTCCTTGTTCACTCTCTGATATTGAGCCAGTTTCTTCTTCTCCAGAGTCTTCTTCAGGACATATTAGAATGCTTGCTGGTTTCTAAAATGTTAAAGGTTTTTTAAAACGTATATATAAAAAAGGAAAAATCATAAAAAAGGAAAAAATCATAATTAAATTATCAAATCATTATTAAATCATCATCATTCAATTCATAATCATTCATTCATTATTAAATCATCTTTAATCATAAAAAAGGAAACTACCTGATGGCTTATCCTTGATTTTTAAATTTAATATACCCCGCTGAAAACAACGGAATCATCAAATTTCTTAAAGCACAAGTGCATAAGAATGAAATACCACCAAATGATGTCGTTTACTAGCAGAATTTCTCATTTCTACTTTCCTCCTGCTCTCAAATTAGAGGAAACTTGTAAAACATATTGTAAAATTACGTAATTATTGAGCACTTTTAGATAAGAACAGATTCTGAGGCAAAGGGTTCATTTAAAACAATATCAAGAATTTGATAATTTAATTCAATACCCAGAAAGTTTGAAGACCCATTTTGGTCTTGACAATTGTATCCTCCTGATCACTTTTATTCTTCTAAAGGTGTAAGACCATCAGCATAATAGATCCAGAACTCTGAAATTACAAAAAAATTCTAATGATAGGTATACTTTACCTGAGGTACATCTTTCCTGGGAAGCGCATCCTTTTTAAGTCGTATCCCAGGCATTGGGTAATTGGCATCGAGTAACGCTTTATAATAAGGCCAATTTGCCACATCTTCTTCAAACTATAGATTATGAAACAAGAGAGATTTTTAGATGACAGCTGAGAGACAGGCTATTTTCAAATGGTGACAAACGGTTTGAGAAAGTAGGAGCAGTGAGTACGGTAAATGATTTGCAAAAATGTAGAATCAAAATTCTTACAGATATTTTTGCCTTCTTATTCTTATTACCTACCTCCACTCGAGTACCATGTGTGGGCGGGGGTAAAATTTTGCAAGGGGCAAAAGTACGCACGCTCGGCTTATTTTTACTGTTTTACGTAAGACTGGCAACTTTGCTCTGTTAGTTTGGTTGGCAATGTGGTTCTTCACTTCATTTGTAACCACAGTTTGCTTCCTGGCAGTGCACATCTTCGGCAGTGGCAACAAGGTTTCACTTTTCGCCAGTCTTGATTTTTATTTTTGACAACAAATTGGTAAAATTTTGGTATTTTGATATTATTTTTAATTTTTCAGATGTCTTTCTGTGGATCATTCAACTGTTGTTGTGAATCCTGCACCACTTGCTTTTGTGAAAAGGTCAAGCTTTTGAATGACTTTATCACTAACCATTATTGATAAAGGGTAGATTGACATGTCATCTCAACATGGGATGAACGAGCCCTGAGATTCCCTATCTTCCATAATGCAGTACAATTATAATTAAGATCAGCTTGCACTGAGAGAGTATGGAATTTCTATCTACACCATGATCAATGAACAGTTTACACCAAATGAGTTGGCTGACTTTTAAAGCGAGACAGAGGATCTGATATGTTGACTCTTACATGTGACATCAAGGATACCTACTAGGTAAGTGTAGAGACGGCAGATCTTCTGACACACACAAATTGATAGTCAGCCCGAACGTACCGCATTCTGCCAACTAAGCAAAGCATATTTAGCTCCATATCTACGAGGAAACTGCCGGAACACAGAACCTTTACCTCAAATTGAGACATTGCAAGGTCATTAACCGCAGACTTCCTGTCACACTTTATTTCTTCCTTAAAAGGAAAATATCCAGCATCATTTCTAGAAAATTTCTCTGATTTTCCTCATGGGTGTGAGGAATGGTCTATGAGAATTGAGGCACTGGATGCAAAAAGGGCACTTCTCGGTTGCAGTGTTTCAGAGTCTCCTCTAAAATTTCATTCATTGTAAGGAAAGATAATGCATCCATTTCACTGAAAACTTCACTGAATATTCCTTATGATTCTACAATTTTCTTTGGAAAGAATTCTGGCAAAATACCCATTAGATTCTTCTCCGACGGATTAATTAGCATTAGAGACTCTGATACACTGCAATCGAGAGGTGTTCTTTTCGCATCCAGTGCCTCAATTTCAAGCAGCTCGGTCAGATTATTCTCCTTTGAAAAATTAAAATGGAAGTGGAGATTTTGAAACACCAGACACGAGACATGTATTCCTGCAGTTTCACCATTGATATAACAGCCTGATAATTAATTAGTGAGAGAAGGGTCTACAAAACCTCTATGGAGATATTACCTTAAAATGGTCTTCGCAGCAACGTCGTGGGGATTTTAAAGACAGGGAATCTGGATCCCTGCCGACAGCCGAACACCACAACTTCCGACTTTCATTGTTCGGCACACAGAAAAAAAACTTACCAGGTGTCGACTTATTAGTGTTTTTACACCCCGGTACAAAACAATAAGCATAGGATTTTAGATCTCGCGACATGACTTACAGGCACAAACAAATAACAAAATCACAGCCAAAAAGTAGAGTGTACATTGCGTTACAATGCGTACACAGAGTTAACAATTTTGATGACTAGCGAATATTTCGTTGCTTTTTACAAAGCATAAAGCAACAACGCGAGATGGTTTCATTTCATTGATGAGTGTCTCCATTCGACATTGCAGTCAAAACCAGAGATCAAAAGTTCAAAGCAGAAAACACAGAATTGGTAGGAAAGTTAGGTTAGGTTGGGTTGGTTTGTTTACTTTATTTATCCTATGATGGACAGTCGCATACGGCAGAGGTACCCTACCGCCGTTGACCCGCGTGGTCAAAAGTTTTGCTACTGTTTTGCCGTGCGCCTTCAGGGGGTTGGACCGCATAGCGGTCAGGGGGCATAGCCCCCTAGTATTTGCCTATTTGCCTAGGCATTTGACAAAATGCCTAATTTTACTATTTGCCTGCGACATATCGATTGCATTGTTTGAAAATTTATTTCCTCCCCCTCCCTCCCCTTGGCACCAAGTTTTACGAAAATTCGACGAGCAGGAACCGAGATAGCGTTTTAAGTCACGCTCACCACCTTGGTTTTTCGAAATTAGACTAAAAATTCGAATTTAATCGATGGAATGGGAGCCGATGTATCAATTTAGGCTGCGTCCACCGTCTTAAATTTTCAAATTCAGAAAAAGCAACTTGAAACGCATCATACCCAAAATCTAAGCCCAGATTCGGCTTCCTCGTGAAAAATCGAGGCTGTTTCATGTATCATAATGTTACCACAGCATAAAGAAAAGAGTGCAATCGTAGGCGTAAAGATTCTATCAAAGCCGGCCGGTATGCGGAAGTAGGCACAGAATCCAAACGTTTGAGCTACGCCGCGCCGCCAAGCGCCAGGCGCCAAGCATTTGGTTCGTCCGTTTCCGAGAAAACCAGAGACAAATAGAGACCGAGCACGTTGGGTTTTCAGTGAGGCACATCTAATTCTCGGGGATCCAACGGAACAACAGTCATGTATTTTCTGATTTCGCCTAAAGTTGACTGATGCTACTCGGCTGTTGGCATTATTGCGGCTTGTTTACATTCTTCCTAATCAATTGCAAAGCGGAAAATTTTCCAATTTTTCATTTGAAACTCTTCCAAATTGTCATAAAATGACCTATTAGAAGGTATAACATTAATTCGCCCCTTTTAATCAACATTTGTGATACTTTCGGTGGTTTCACCTTATGTAGTGAGAAGCAGATTCCTCGAGACTCTGAGCCTGGTCCGCAGATTGTTCAACTTCATAATGGATAATTTTAGTTATCGAACTTTCTTTTGACTTTAAATGGT